AAGCAACTCCAAAAATCAAAATCAACTCCATCGAAAATTCATCAATAACAGATAATGAAAAATTAACTTCAAAAATAAAAAACAACAACACTTAGTTCGTCTCTCTCACATTGATCAAAACTAAAAACAAAAACCTAATTCAACACCTACACGATCAAATCAAATCAAAAATTGAAAACTTATCTAATTCAACTCCACATGAAATCAAATCAAACACAATGAACCAGATTTCAACTCCTACACGATCGATCAACATCTACAAATAACGAACATGATTTCAACTCGTCTAGGATTTCAACACCTACAAACAACGAACAGGATTTCAACACCTACAAAAACCCTAGAAAATCTCCACAAAAATCTGAATCGTCAAGTTCATCCTCACGTAATCTCCCACAAAATATCAATATGATCTTTAGCTGCCAAATTCAAAACAACGTATATTATAAATAAGGGTAAGACAGGTATTTTACACTCTAAAATAACATTGAGGGACCTTAGGCTACAAAAGAACACATTGTGGACCTAATCCATTACTAAAAGTTGGATAGAGACCTTAAACCGATTTTCCCAAAAATTTACTAAAAAAAATATGAAAAATAAAAAATTCAACTTCTAAAAAATAGAATTCAAGAAATTAGATCTAACCAAGGTGAATAGTTCTTCCGTTTGGTTGGTTTCCCACGAGTAATTATCCTTTATTTTAAAAAAAACACAATAATAAAAGTCATTAGACAGCTGTTTGAGGGGTAGACACAAAGGATTGGAATGAAATGATGTCATTTCATAATTTCTGGCCTCCCACAAAACTACTCATTTTCTTGAGTTCATCTCCCAACACAGACCACATAGAATGATAGTCCAGCCATTTTCAACAAATTTTTGTGTTTTTTTTTTCCCTTTCTCTTTTTGCTTTTCCTTTTCTAAAAGTGGTAGAGATGTAGGAGTTAATGGCGGTGTTTGACAACGGATTGGGCAGGCAATTTTAGCCTCAAAGAAAAAAAAGTTCATGTAGCTTTCACTGTAGTTGAGGTAAAGAGCTTTAGGCCAGCTGGATGTCATTAACTAGGTAAAAAGACATTTTTACCCTTGCTTGCTCATATCCACAAACCAAAAAGTGACAATTGATTTCAGGCAGTTTCATCTCTCTCATCTGTACCTTGGGTCTGAGAGAAGAGTGAGGTACCTGTCTTCGGCTGTCACTCCGACAGAACTGTTGCGTAAACACTTACCAGTAGGGGTGCTTACGGTTCGATTTTGTGTGGTTTGTGATTCGGTTTTGACCCGCCCGCATGTATGCGGTTTGGAAAAAAGTCAAACCACAACCGCCTGGAGTGCGGTTTGCGATTTGTGCGGATAGGGTTTGCAGATGAGCGGGGCGGTTTGCGGTTTGAAATTTTTTCCTTTAAAAATTAATTTTTGAATTTTTTTCCCCATTTTACAAATTCAATTCAAATTCAAAAAAAAATTAAGATTTAATTTCATTTAGATTCAATTCAGATTAAAAAAAAAAAATCAGATTCAATTTCAAAAATTCAAATTCAATTTAGATTCATCATCCCTTGCAATTTAAATTTAAATTTAGATTCAATCCAAATTCATCATCCCTTACAATTTAAATTCAGATTCAATTCAAATTCATCATCCCTTGCAATTTAATTTAATTCAATTCAATTCAATTCAAATTCAGATTCATCAAATTCAATTCAAATTCAGATTCATCATCCCTTGCAATTTAATTCAATTCAATTCAAATTCAGATTCATTATCATCCATTGCAATTTAAACAGATTCAAATTACAAAGATTAAATTAAACAGATTAAAATTACAAAGATTAAAAAAATATTAAACAGATTCAATTTCAATTTCATTCTATTTAATTCAGATTCAAAAAAATAAATTTAGATTCAAATTACAAAGATTACAAAGATCAAATTAAACAGATTCAGATTCAAAAGTAAACAGATTACAAAGATTCAAATTAAACAGATTCAAAAGTAACAGAGTAAGTAAATTAAACAAAAACGAGATTCAGATTAATCCACCCACCAGATTCAGATTACAAAGGTCAAACTCCCTCAAAAAATTAAACAAAAACAAAAACAAAAACAAAAACATAGAGAACTGGGAGGGAGAGTGAGACAAATCTGGAAGGGAGAGAGAGCGAGAGAGATACAAATCACAGATTGGGGAGAGAGAGCGAGACAGAGAGAGCCTCACCTCAGAGTTGCCAGAGAGAGAGAGTCGATTGCGGAGGTGGATCGTCGTATGCGAGCTACGCAGATGAAAACCAAGAGAGAGATGAGAAGATAAAGGTTGATCGATACGAGGCGAGCTGTGCAGATGAAAAACGAGAGAGGGTGAGACATATCTGATTGCTTAAAAAAAAAACACAGATCGGGGAGAGAGAGCAAGACAGAGATAGATACAAATCACAGATCGATGAGAGAGAACGAGACAGAGATAGCCTTACCTCAGAGTTGCCAGTGAGAGAGAGTTAATTGCGAAGGTTGATCGTCGCGTGCGAGCTGCGCAGATGAAAAACGAGAGAGAGATGAGAAGATGAAGAGAGCTCTCTCTGAGTCTTAGTGAGTTAGTGAGATAAGAGATGAGAGTGAGATTAGGGTTTTGTTTTTCTCAATTTGTTTTGCTTGGGTTGGGGTAAAAAATATCAACGGTCCAGCCTTTTTCCCAAAAAAAAAAAAAAGTGCGTGAGGTTGTGAGGGGTGCGGTTCAAACCCGCAACCCTAAAAAATGAAATATTTCAAACTACACCCTACCCTATTGCATTTGCGAAACCGCCCATACGTGTGCGGGTAGGGTCGGGTAGGGCGGGTTTTACGGGTCGGATAACCCTATGCCCGGCCCTACTTACCAGCCGACTGTCTTGTTCGCTGACCGTTGAAGGCCTGCGACAGGTATGGTATACTGACCTGATTTCTATGCTTCTTCTTCGTTTTCGAACTTGCTCTTGTTGGTTTTGAACCCACTGTTTTAGATTGCATTGTGATTTGGCTAGTATTGATGGTATTTATTTTTTTATTTCACTGATCTACACCTATGAACCTTTTTTTCCCTTTATTTATTTATTTATTTATTGTTCCAACTTCGATGGTTCAGCCGTCATGGGACTACAAAATAGGACAAAACAACAGACAACCTGGAAGTGTTTTTGTTGTTTTATTTTTTTTTCTTCCTTCAAAATCTTTTGTGCATATACACTTTTTTTATTTAATTTTTTTCGTGTAACAAGCTTCTCAGCAAACATGGTTGCTTCCTTAATTTTTAAAAAGAGACTTATATTTTGGGATAATAAAAAATCGAATAAAAAATTAATATTTTGGTACAGAGGAAGTAACAAATTTTGGATATTTATAATTTCTATAGTAAGATTTGTTGGTATACTAATTAATATTTGTTGGTTTACTAATTAGTATACAAATTTTATTATAAATATTTGCATTGATTTTGTCAAACTAACATCAACTTAATTAAATTATTACAAACAAATTTTTGAACCCAAGTTCACACGTGATAGACGGTGACAGTGTCTTCACTGCCACGTGCAAATCTGCCTTTTTTTGTATTAATTTCTGGAAGGACAGTTTGGTCAATTTACATTCCACCATCATTTCAAACATATTTTCAATATAGCAATTCAAATAACAATTCATTCAATATTTTCAAACACAAAAATTAAAATAGCCTACTCAAATAGTCAAAAAGTCAAAAAGCCTAAAAAATAACCACATCTCAAACACCATTACAAAAAATTAAGGTTTTGGGGACCAAAATTTAGGGACAAAATTACTTTTTAGGGAACAACTATTTTTATTACGAAAAATGTCGTTATTATATTTTTAGCAATAAAAATTGGACATTAGTGATAAATTATTATCTATTTGGGACCAAATTTTTTCTCTCAAAAAATAAACTATTTTGTGACCAAATTATTTTGTCTCTAAAAGTCTATTTATTAGTGACATTTTAAAAATTTTGTCGATACAATTATTCTCTCTTTCTCTGCTATAGAGAGGAGAGGGTGGGTGCTTCTAATTTTCATTTTTTTTTTCTTGTGATTTTTATAATAATGTAGCCACTATAGCTCCTCTTGTCTCCATCACTTGTCACTGATAAAACTTTCAGATTTAGACTCGTATCTAATTCATGATCGAAATTCGATATTGTTAAATGCGTTGCTATGTGCTAGGTGTCTATCTCAAATTCATAATATTTTATTTTATAACATAGAGACGGGAATTAAGGTATCATAGCTACCAGTTGTAACAATGAACAGATCGTGAAGGTGATTGATATTGTTTGTTTGGTGGTGATTATTTTGTTTTGTTTTTGTTTTTGCAATAATATCTCTCAAGTAGATTGTTCCTTCTTTCATGGAGGTTTTCTCTTTCCTGTGAGGTTTGTTTTTCTTTCTTGTAGAGACTCCTATACTCTTTGCTCTGCGTGGAGGTGCTCTTTATTCTTTTTGGGATTTATTTTATATTTCGATATATTTATTGAACAACTTATTATCGAATGTGCGATATATTCTCTTTATCTCAATGGTATTATGTTATTTGATATGACTCTTTACTGATGGGGTTGAATATTTTCCTTTTTGACTGTTTTTGGTGTCTCATTTGTTCTTTTTTTAAACCAAAATGCCACTCCAAACAAGGCGTCAATATGCTTATCCATCATATCCATTTCAATAGAAAATAAAACTAACGGTTGATTGGATGTAAGATTTGATCAATTTCAAATTTAAAAAGTTCACTTTTTCATAGGTAACTGTAACTAGCATAGTTCATAATATTCTATAAAAAAAATTATGCATATGGAAAATAATCATCAATTACTTTTAAATAATTCATTTCAATTTAAAATGTTTAAAAATATCAATATCATAATTCTGCAATTGAAATTTCAAGTACAATTATTTTATTTTATTTTGCTTTGTGAAACGAGTCATTGGGATAAAATTTATTTACAATTAACAACATCGCATTCTTCTTTAACCCAGATACATGATTCTTGAGCATGCTATAGAAAATAGAACTTTAGCACCCAAGTCATCATCGGTCAGAGGCTTGGGAAACAAATTTGAGAAAAACTTCATCAGCCTCAAATTTGGCCATGTCAACATCTGTCAAATTAATCCACACTTCTATACCATCACCAGATCTTGTAGGCATAAAAGTCGCTCGATTCTTTAAGGGAAGAGTAGCTTGGCTTACCCATATAGGTCTCCCCCACCCAAAATCGACTTCATATAGTTGAAACCTGCAATAACTAGAAAAGATAAAGTGGCCAAACTCTATTTTCTTTCTCATTGCCTCTTCCCTTGGAGGTTGTTGACTTGATTTATCATCTCCCTTTCTTTTCATAGAACTGAAGAGTGTGTCACTGAGAGGGTAATTTTTGGTGAAAATTGGACCGAGCTATGAAATGGACTTTATGGCCCCAAAGTACGAAGGACCGGGTAAAATGGGCCGAGAAGTTACTCCGGCCCATGAGAAATAAAGTTACTTCGGTCAAAAGAGATGAAATTACTTCGGCTCAGGAATTGTAAAGCTACTTCGGTTTGAACGACTTGGAGTTAGTCCGGTCTCCGAGTTAGTCCGGTCATGACGTATTCTGGATAGATTGGTCAAGACCTTGATACTCGGTAGCCCGGTCCCAACACATCATCTCCCTTTCTTTTCATAGAACTGAAGAGTGTGTCACCCTCTTGAATTCTTTTCACATAATCACTGTCTTTAGTTTTTTTTATTGCTTCCCTCATTTTTGCCACAAACCCATAACCCTCTTCCACAGTCTTGTCCATGCATGGCATGATCATTACAACCCAACTAAAATTGCCAAAAGCCACTCGAAACCTATAAAAGCTCACAAGCATCACCTTGGAGGAGGTAACATAACACAACATACAATTTTGCTTCCTGAATACATTGAGCTTTGTCTACTTGTCAAGTTTTTCTGACTTAGGCATCGGAGAGATTTCCGGCACACACCCGCCGGCTAGCTCACGTTTGTGTTTTCAGGTGACAAAGCGACGTCGTACGGAGAAACGTGGACTTAGTCAACAGGATTATACGAGGAGAATTATTTCCTTCCCGTGCCCTCTTGAATTCTTTTCACATAATCACTGTCTTTAGTTTTCTTTATTGCTTCCCTCATTTTTGCCACAAACCCATAACCCTCTTCCACAGTCTTGTCCATGCATGGCATGATCATTACAACCCAACTAAAATTGCCAAAATAAGACTCTGGCAGAGGGGGATTCATTCTCATGCGCAAGTCCAATCCATGAATCAACATATAGAGTTTCGTAATACTCGTCTCTGCCTCTACATCTGCCTCTGCCTGTGTCTCTACTTGATCACTCGTTGTGACAACGAATCTACTCCATACGAAAGCCGAAAGTGCCTCAACCCTAGTGGGTTGTATTTCATTTGCATACTTGTCTTTGAGAGTAGAGATAGCAGAGGCATTGAATAGAAACCTCTTTGAAACCATCTTTTCTTTTGTCATGCCGGTCTTTATATTATAACAAGACATGTCTCTAGAAGGGAAATATGTGGCCGAATCAAGTCGAGGGCATACCATATTGCTATGACCCGCTCGAGCAGCACTAGCCCAAGAGTTGGCAAAGGTACTGGTTGACAACCCATCTGCAATCTTGTGAGAAAAACACATCCCAATGGCCATCCCACCACATTTGAAGACTGTGACTTGTATTGCCAAGAGCACATCGCCGGCATCGTTGAGTCGATCAAATGGAAGCAACTTGTTGAGCTCAACATGGGGATTGATGGGTTGTTGTCCAATGATTTGTGAGAGTTGGCAATTGACTTGGGCTTCTAAGTAAATGTAAATAAAAACACAAAACATGCAGCGGAATAAAATCATCAGATCATACCTTTTGATGATAGAACCTCGTGGATAAATCACGTGCTTCCAGAATCAGATCAATCAACTCCAGCAGTGGGGTGATATTACAATGGTGAATATCACCCACACAAACCACAGTGCAACTGACTTGATCGTTGTTTCTTGGGAGAGAGTCAGTATATGGGTAGAAAACAGACTCAACGTCGTTTCTCTTGGATTACCCATAACCATATAACAAATATTTAATATATTATAATATCTATCCATATCAGTTAAGATACAGATAATATCTAATATATATTATATCTATCTATATCAGTTCAAACTGATAACGTCTGTTTCAAGAGTGGTTATCCTAAATAGGTTTGATTTCAAAATCAAAACCTATTTGGATAAGGATTCAAAATCAAATTTAATGGTCATGCCACATGGGCGCCCATTACTAACAGTAAAGAACACCCTCATCATTGCACTCAATGTAGAGGTTTTCTTTGACTCGACCAGCTAGTGGATAGAACTTGGTTAAGACATCAGCAAGAGATTTCTTGAGCTGGTTAGACCTTTTGAGGTTTGTGGCTCTTGAATTATCTTCAAAACCTAATGGGTAATAAAAAATCAAAGGCAAAATTCTTGGATGGTTGATCTGATCAAGAAAGGAAAGTTGGAAATGTCTTAGGTTGGAAGGGGTTGGGTTAGATGGCTTGATGGTATTTTTAGAGATCACCAAAACTTCCATGTTGATATGTGTATGTGTATATACATTAGGTTGGCACAAGTGCTATATTATATATAATGTAGGATTGGAAGAAGCAACAACTTTTTTTTTTTTTTTAATTTATGTATAAAACCAGTTTTATAATCAACACAAAATCCAACACATAATATAATAAACAACAATGCTACAGACTCCTAAAAAATACAATCCCATAACCTTTACTCACTTGTGATTGGTCCAGGAAGGAAAAAAAAAAAAAAAAAAAAAACATAATTGGTTCACATCATTTTGGGGGTCATGGGGTCCCCAACTTTGGGGGTTTCAAACATTTTTGTATAATAAATTTTACATACTTTAATAATAATAATAATAAGAAGAAGAAGAAGGAGGGGAGTAGGAGGTTTTTGACACAGCCCTGATGCATAAGTTTGGGGAGAATTATTGAAATGTAATGGAAGTTTCAAGAAAATGGTGTTGAGTTTAATAAGAGTTTAGGGAAATAGTAAATGATAAACTTTTTCTAAATATATTTTAGTCATTTACTTACTATGTTTTTTTGTTTTTTATTTATTTATCTATTTATAATTTTTTAATTTTTAATTTTTTTATGTTTAACTCGATGACCTTTTATACTTACTAGTTTTTACAATTAATAGTATGGATAAAATAAACATATGGTCCCATATGTTTTGTGTTGTTTTGTCTTTTAAATTTTATTTTGCTAATTCAGTCCTTAATGTTTTGGATTGAGTTCAATTTCAAACGTACTGTCTTAATTATTAATGAAATAATTGTAGATTTTATTTTCGGTCAGTAAAGTATGCATTATGTGTTATGTTGGCCTTGAAAATTTTAATTTTGTCAATTTCGTCATGTAACACGGTACGGTTCTATTTTGTTTTCATCATCAATGCTAAAGGACCAAAGTGATACAAAACTCATACTATAGGGACCATAGATGAATAGTTTTCATGTTAATAAGAAGGTTTGTTTGAAATTAAACAAAATTGACTCAAATTGAAATTTTTAAAAGCAAAATTGATAAAATAAAAAATTAAAAGATCAGAGGCACAAAACGTATATTTCTAAGAAATATAAATTTATTTTATACTAATAGTAACAACTAATAAGTAGGCCTTATTACAATATATAAGAATTTTAGAGACCAAATTTTTTAGTTTCTAAAAGTGAAAATTTTGTTACAAAAGACATTTAGGGACCAATTTCTATCGTAAAAGGATAGTTGGTAAAAGATCATCTCGAAAAGTCAAAAATAAGATTTTTAGCGACAAAATTTTGAAAATATCACTAATAAATATATTTTTAGGGACAAAATAATTTGGTCTCAAAATGATTTATTTTTTGAGACAAAAAATTTGGTCATAGAAAGATAATAGTTAATCACTACTGTGCAATTTTCATTGCTAAAAATATAATAACGATACTTTACGCAACAAAAATATTTGATTCCTAAAAAATAATTTTGTTCCTAAATTTTAGTTTCTAAAACCCTAATTATTTGTAGTGCCTATTCATTACATCTGCTTTGCCCTTTCCAACAATATATTCAGACCTTCTGCCACAACATTAAATAGAAAAGGTGATAACGGGTCCCCTTGTCTCAGCCCTCTCTGAGGTTTAAATTCAGAGAAGGTGATAACGGGTCCCCTTGACACAGTGAAGATAAATATTGATACCTTGATTATTTTCTTTCCCCCCAGAAGAAAAAATGTAGGGGAAATCATCATTCAGTGGTAATTTAAGAAAATTATTGTATATATTCATGAAAAATTCATAATTTTAATTATTAATATTTATATAATTAACCACTTAGTGATAATTATTTTTTGAAACTTACATTGCACTGAAATTTCCCCAAAAAAGTATGTATATATATTTCCAAGTAAACAGTATGTTTGAAGGGATATACAAATAGGATGAAATGAAAATTTCCTTTCTATGATCAATGTCTCCAAAATATCCACATTAATGAATTTTTATTTTAAATTTTAAAGTGATTAAAATTTTAAATGACATGATAGATATAAACTATTGATTGTTAATTTTAGATTTTTGTGATATATTATAATCTTATAAAATGAAATGGAAAAGATATTGATCATTTTTCACAAATTTTTTCTTTTTAATCCCCCCCTCCCTCTCAAACTTTTACTACTCTCTTTCTTTTGACAAAATGCAAATTTTTTTTTTTTTTTTTTTTTTTTTTGCATTCTTCTAATTTCTCTCTCCAAACTCAACGCGGATCGCGCATCGGTTTCCAAACTCAACGTGGATCACGCTTCGGTTTTCCTTACTGTACGATTTTAATAGTAAAATCATTAATTAAGGGCAAGTTTGGGAAGATCCAAAAAAGCCAAAAAGTCAAAAAGTTAAAAAGTTAACACTATTCATCAAAAGTCAACAATTACGGCTGCACAACTCCCAATTCAAATTTTTCTCTACAAATCAATTTTTACAATTTTTTATTACACATTTTTCAATAAAAAGTCAAAAAGTTAACACAAACATCTAGGTAGTGTTTGGTAGAGTTTTGTAAATGTGATTTGAGAGTATGAGTTGAAATTTGGAATTGTGAGTTGTGGAATTATGATTTGAGTGTAGAAAATTTGTTTGGTAAAGAGTTTTGAAAATAGTTTTGGAAAAGAG